TTCCATCTTTTATATGTTTAATATTATTCTTAATAAAATTAAACTCAAGCTGAAATATTGTGAGCCGCCCTGAGTCCCCCCCAGGGAAAAGGGCGGCATACAAATAAATGAATGAATGAATGAATGAATGAATAACTTGGACGCCTAATGTGAAGGCAAAAATCATAGGAAAAGACTAAGATTAATTGGAAATAAAAGCAATTAGAAAAGAAGCAAGCAAGAGACAAAATAGTTAGATACAATCATGGATGGCATAAATATGAACTGATAGAATTCAAAGAAGCAGTTATTGACCCAAAAAAGTTTTCCTTTGGATCACAAAGAATTGGAAGCTACAGAAGGATTTGAACAACAAAAACAGAAAAGCTATTCCCAAAGATCATTATTAGTCTATACACCATTATATGTACTTCAGTTTTATAAAGCACCCTGAAAAGGATAGAGGTTTTAAAAACAGATTTTGATTGTAGTATATACATTTTTAAATTTAAAAAAAAATATTTCCAGTCCATAACCAGAATAGTAATATGATCTAGTAGCAACAGATCCCACCTCCATCCCATCCCTGCTCACCCCCACGTGTCATCATTTAATGTTTAGTTTTAATTTATGTTTTAATGTACTGTATAAATACATTTTTATGGCCTGTACACCATCCAGAGTTACCCTGAAGCAAGAGGAGTGGCCAATAAATTTTATGAATGGATGGATGAGCAAACAAGCAAGCATGAATTTACTTTTCTTCTCCCCAGTTCAGATCTTCTTTATCCCTCTACTCTGCTTTTTCCTCACATTATATAAACCTTTACCCTGTGTATCGTCCTATCTACCGGTACCATAATACAATTCTTTTCATGTTCCTGTGTGTGTGGTGTGTGTATCACTTCCTTATACATTTTCTTCACTATATTCTTATTTTTTTTCTTCTCGTACCTTTTATTTTTGGTTCTTTTTTGCGTACTAGTTTTTATTGTTGTAATTTAATAAAACTATAGATAAGCTTTATGTACAGCTCTTTTTTGTTTGTGAAACACAGCATTTACTATTGGGGAGGTTTTTGTTTTTGCTTTCATTACTTTTAAAAAAGGAAGTAATGTACATGCCTGCTTAATGTAACAGGGAATTGGATTGAAATGCATGAAATCTTTTGCCGGTTGCAACACTGTTTATTCTTACCTTCTAATAGCATTATTTAAATTTAATTTATTGTAACTTTGAACAACACATTTTATAGTACAGAGTTGACTTACGAGGAAGAGAAATTAATTTGTGCTGGGTTCTTTATATAAGCAGTACAAAGGACATTTAGAACTACCTATATCTTTTTTTGCAAATTTTATTTTTGTCTATATAAAATAAGAAATATATGAACAACACGCATAAGCGTTAGCTAAGTCTTCCATGTGTATTTATTTCTTAAACCTTTTTCTAAGTTAATTTATGTGTGTTTGTTTGTTTAGAGAATTTGTTGGGAAACAGCCAGAATGACAACTTTGGATTCTCAGGTCTTCTGTCTGCAGAGCAGTGACAGCAGAAGCTGAAAGGTAAGGAATTAATTCAACAAAATATTCATATTTAAATACATGCAAGATTTTACTTGCAAAAGGTTTTTATTGGTTCACAGTTAATTTTAAGGCCATCATTTT